ATAGGGAAATCACATTTTGGACCAACATTTGTTTAATTTCCATTGGAATTAGTTCAATTTTGGTTATCATTATCAGCATTGGATAGAAGTTTGATAGTATGCACATTTAAGCCCTGACTAACCCCTAGGGGATGATGGGTGGGGCCCAAAAAGGGTTGAATTGACTGAAATTTCAAAAACCTTCTTCTCAAGACCCAGATATAGTAGATTTCAAATACTCTTCATAGATGGAAGGGTCTTAAGGTTTATGACCCTAGGGTCTCACGTTTACCCCCTGGGGAAGGAGGGGGGAGGGGGCAAAATTTATTATGGTTTATAATGGCAAATGATACTTTGAATATTACATGTTAATAACTTGATTGGAATTATAACCTTGAGGTGACAGTTTGATACTTTGAAAATTTTGATCCAGCCCTACCCCCCAAGGGCTGTATGGTGGGGCTCAAAGGACTCGGTGTGCTAAATTTCATAAGTCACAATATAATTCATTAGAAACATGATTTGACAAGGATGTTTCCAAACAAGAGTGCTGATCTACTACAACCGGTAACAGACGGAATTGCTATATTATGCTATGATAAAAAGGTAGAAAAGTGCCAACGTCGTGAAGTCCTCCGTTTCCGAGATATTGCGATTTTTCTGAAACGAAACCCTTCATTTATTTAAATGAAATGTTCCGTCGTTACTGACTGCTACATACAAATGAACGACGGGTTTTACAATCTAAATGTTAAAATGAGTTTTCGAGTAGGCAGACGATGTACTATATACGGGTGTCCGAACACGCATACGAATAGGCTATGCATACATGCGTGACACGGTTGTACTTAATTCATTTGTTATACTCAACAAATATACACACAAATGTTAAGAATCTTGCAGAAGATGAACCTGTCCATTTCACTAATCTAATGAATGAGCGTGTTCAAGATTCACAAATCATTGACCCTACTGTTCAGTGCAAAATATGACCCAGCATATGGCGTTCTTCTCAGGAATATTTCAGTTGTACTGATTGTGATTTGCATTATATTTATAGTGACAATGAAATTGATTTTTATTTATTTCCCCTCCATCTAACCTGATCGAGGTCATTATTATTCAATGAAAATGCTGCGTACTAACATGAGGTACCCTCTTGCCCGTCTGCTGACATCCCGTTGATGTCATTCCTGGACACAGGTTTTAAAGGTGTGTTTTCTGTCTACTGCTATCAGCATTGGACACACTTGTTAAGTGTAATTTACCTGTACGCAAATTTCACATCTAAGTTGGGTCGAGATGATATTCATAACAGAACCGATATGTTATAACATGTTTATTAAATGAAGAAAAAAGGTTTTATTTTTTAATCTCAAAAATTTAGCACTGCAAATAAGTGTTGCATAAAAATTACAATCAATGTGCAACTTGTCGGTAGTATGCTGTTTTATTCGTCGGCCTTACCACGAAATTAGATAAGATGTTATTTAAGTCCATGGCCTAAAATAGGGAAGACACGATTCGTCAATTTATAATTAAACGGTGGATATTAGTGGATATTTAAATATCCAATACATTTTATTGCAGACACAAACGTTGAAATGTTTTAAAAAACATTTTTACCGATACATTTCCTTGCGCTAGGACCATAGCGTTACCACAATATACAAGTTTGAAATATATAGAATCTGGTCGTAAAATGGCGCCATTCAACGACGATTATAGAATAAGTTCTATAGGAACGAAAAGGATTTCAAACGGACATGGTTGTACAGGGTTTAACGTCCTATCAACAGCTCATGTAATGTATAGAAGTTCCGGCTAAATTAAAGAATAACAAATTGTTGTTTAACAAAATGAAGACAATTGTTATTTTATTTCCCTCAAATTCGTTTATTCAGCAAATTTCTCTTTAGTGCTTAGACACTGGGCCACTTTCGTTTATCGCGATCTAAACGGTTGGACCTGAGCTGCTTGTTGACGAAATAGGGTCGGACCTAGTAATCTAAATAAATCTGATGCTGCGTT